AGGCCCAGGCCGAACATCATTGGCCTGAATCTTGTAAGTGATCAGTGCTCAGGGGCGGACTGTCCATTTGGAAACTCGGGCACTTCCGGAGGGCCCGGGGTCAGTAGGGGGCCCCATGAGATGCCCCTGGTACCTTTTTCATAGGCTTTTTTGAGTTTGGGCAAGGACACAGGGGCCCCATGATCCCCTATTGCCCGGGGGGCCCATGAGTTGTCAGTCCACCCCTGTTAGTGCTGTACCGAATCACTGCACCGTCAGGCTGGCACACACACCCCCTGTCCGTGGACCCCACAGGAGTGCAGATCATGTCTATATATGTGATTTTGTGCAGGGAATCCACCTTGTAACAGTAAAACTGCTATAGGGCAGAGGGCAAGTGGTTAAAATATAACTATAACGTTCATTCACCTTCCTGCATTGTAGTGCATTGTAATTCGCTGTAGTATGTTGCTGAAAAAAAGTAGTGTGTGTCCTACTTTTCCTTCAGTACACACCACTGCAATGTAGTGCTGTGAAATGAACACAGAACCTTGTTCATGTGATGGGCTGTGTTTGGTAGGGCTAATTAAATTTATAGATAATTTAAAAATATGCGGCAGGTAACAAATGTAGCTCCTTAGAGAATAAGTTCACCCTTTAAAAAATAATAATAAATGCAGGTAAAAAAAAGTGTGCATTTATTTTTATTTATTTTTTTAAGGAGCCTGTAAAGCTTTGCACCTGAGTTTAGCAGATCACAGGTGCAAGCTTAGGCTCCTGCAGACTGTCAGTGCAGCTGTCTGCCAATCCCTCCTATGGGCAGGCAGTTACTGAATGACAGGAAGAATTGATGAACTGCCTAGAGCACTCACTAGCGACCTGGTAGTTCATTGAGAACTACAAGCCGTCCGCTGCAATATCTGACAGTAGTTGTAGTTCTTCCATTCACAGAAATCCGTGAATGAATGATGAAGCCAGGTGGGCAGAGTCCCGCATGGGTGTGTTTTTTTTTTTTTTTTTAAATTGTGACAGCGGGTTTGGGTAGAAGATTCCTGGCCCGCCTTCAGAATGGGGGCTTGGTGGGGGGGCTGTTAATATAGTAACATGTTATATGTTACTTCCTGTATACAAGTATAACATGTTATGAAAGATGAACTTATCCTTTAATGCTGAGTGATAAAGTGATAAAGAGTAAAACCTCTTGTCATTTTTTCTTTTTTTTAATGTCCCTGTAAAGGTCTACAAACTTTCCATACCATGGACAACACAAGATGAAAGGAAAAAAAACTGAATCCAACTCTTCTCCATTTTATCCAAATGTACAAAAAGACTTGAAATGGCGTTCTTAAAAAAGAGTGCAGCGCAATCACTGTGCAAGTTACAGTATATCAAAACCTTAATGTACATCTGCAGCAAAAAAATGCTACTGGAAGAAGAGAATGATGGAGTTAGTAAAATCTAATAAGGGTTATCCAGTGGTCAATAAGGGGGTTAAACTTTGAATTAATGAAATTAATTAATTAATTAAATACATAAATGAATAAAAACAACTTTGTCATTTGCACCATAGCAGTAATTTCTAACAGAAGGCTACAACTGTCGTCTCCATTCATAAATAAGTAAGCAGGAGCACTGAGCTGTCACACTGTAATTTTGGTGTGTGCAGAAGAGCTCTGCTGTCACTTTGACAGGCAGTCTGCTATGCTCTGTGAGCTTTTCTCTGCTGTCACTTTTCTAGAGTTATATAAATACCTATAATAAATAAATATACTGTAAAATATAATATTTTTCATAGTTCCTAAGTTGGTAAGGTTGAATAAAGACAATAGTCCATCCAGGTGTGTGTGTGCGTGCGTGCGTGCGTGCGTGCGTGCATGTGTGCGTGTGTGTGTGTTTGTCATTCATCCAAAAGCAGACCAATGAAAGTTATTTTCTGCAGTGGGTGGATTTACTAAAACTGGAGCATACAGAATCTGTGGCAGGTTTGCATAGTAACCAATCAGCTTCCGAATTAACATTTTTCAGAAAAAGCTTTGACAATAAATCCTAGAAGCTGATTGGTTACTTTGCACAACTGTACAAGATTTTTTGTGCTTCAGTCTTAGTAAATCTCCTCACCCCCCTTCCCCAGTATTTTACTCATTACACATTGCTTAACCGCATCCCCGCCATCCTATAGCAGATATTCTGCTACAGGGCGGCAGGGGTGCTCAAAATCACGTATTCATATACATGATTTTGCATTTCCAGGCATTCGCAACCGTGGCTTTCAATCATCGAGTCCGGAACGGTGATTACCCACCGGTGGCCAGTGATTACCGACGATCACCGATGGGGAGGAGGGATGCTTTGTTTACTAACAGTCCTCCTCCCTGTCGGCTTAGGCACACTGCTCTAGAACACAGTTAACCCTTTGATCGCCTCTCATGTTAATCCCTTCCTGCCCAGTGCCATTAGTCCAGTCCCCCCCCCAGTGTCAGACTACCCGCCGCAGTCCTGCTATAATTCGCTGATCGTTGCCATTATTAGTAAAAAACGATTCCAGCATTTATACTGCCATTTATAAATGCTATAACTTTCACTGACGATCACCAACAGGGAGGAGGGCTGTTTTGTTTACTAAACAGTGTCCTCCTGCCTGTCGGCTGGGGCACACTGCTCTGGATGGCTGTCCATAGCACAGCCATCCTGAGCAGTGTCCTTACAGTGAAGCACCAACACACCACCCCCCAACAAAACACTTCCAGCACACAGTTAACCCTTTGATCACCCCTCATGTTAACTCCTAACTGCCATAGTGCCATTAGTACAGTGTGCTTTTTTTTAGCACTGATCACTGTATTGATGTCACTGGGGATGTCAATGACACCAAGTCAGTTCCCCCCAGTGTCAGAATACCCGCCGCAGTCCTGCTATAAGTCGCTGATCGCCACCATTATTAGTAAAAAAAAAATCCAGTATCTATACTAAAATTATATACAGTCAGGTCCATAAATATTGGGATAACGACACAATTCTAACATTTTTGGCTCTATACACCACCACAATGGATTTGAAATGAAACGAACAAGATGTGCTTTAACTGCAGCCTGTCAGCTTTAATTTGAGGGTATTTACAGCCAAATCAGGTGAACGGTGTAGGAATTACAACAGTTTGCATATGTGCCTCCCACTTGTTAAGGGACCAAACGTAGTGGAACAATTGGCTTCTCAGCTGTTCCATGGCCAGGTGTGTATTATTCCCTCATTATCCCAATTACAATGAGCAGATAAAAGGTCCAGAGTTCATTTCAAGTGTGCTATTTGCATTTGGAATCTGTTGCTGTCAACTCTCAAGATGAGATCCAAAGAGCTGTCACTATCAGTGAAGCAAGCCATCATTAGGCTGAAAAAACAAAACAAACCCATCAGAGCGATAGCAAAAACATTACGCGTGGCCAAAACAACTGTTTTGGTACATTCTTAAAAAGAAGGACCGCACCGGTGAGCTCAGCAACACCAAAAGACCCGGAAGACCACGAAAAACAACTGTGGTGGATGACCAAAGAATTCTTTCCCTGATGAGGAAAACACCCTTCACAACAGTTGGCCAGATCAAGAACACTCTCCAGGAGGTAGGTGTATGTGTGTCAAAGTCAACAATCAAGAGAAGACTTCACCAGAGTGAATACAGAGGGTTCACCACAAGATGTAATCCATTGGTGAGCCTCAAAAACAGGAAGGCCAGATTAGAGTTTGCCAAACGACATCTAAAAAAGCCTTCACAGTTCTGGAACAACATCCTATGGACAGATGAGACCAAGATCAACTTGTACCAGAGTGATGGGAAGAGAAGAGTATGGAGAAGGAAAGGAACTGCTCATGATCCTAAGCATACCACCTCATCAGTGAAGCATGGTGGTGGTAGTGTCATGGCGTGGGCATGTATGGCTGCCAATGGAACTGGTTCTCTTGTATTTATTGATGATGTGACTGCTGACAAAAGCAGCAGGATGAATTCTGAAGTGTTTCGGGCAATATTATCTGCTCATATTCAGCCAAATGCTTCAGAACTCATTGGATGCCGCTTCACAGGGCAGATGGACAATGACCCAAAGCATACTGCAAAAGCAACCAAAGAGTTTTTTAAGGGAAAGAAGTGGAATGTTATGCAATGGCCAAGTCAATCACCTGACCTGAATCTGATTGAGCATGCATTTCACTTGCTGAAGACAAAACTGAAGGGAAAATGCCCCAAGAACAAGCAGGAACTGAAGACAGTTGCAGTAGCGGCCTGGCAGAGCATCACCAGGGATGAAACCCAGCGTCTGGTGATGTCTATGCGTTCCAGACTTCAGGCTGTAATTGACTGCAAAGGATTTGCATCAAGTATTAAAAAGTGAAAGTTTGATTTTTGATTATTATTCTGCCCCATTACTTTTGGTCCCTTAACAAGTGAGATGCACATATGCAAACAGTTGTAATTACTATACCGTTCACCTGATTTGGATGCAAATACCTTCAAATTAAAGCTGACAGTCTGCAGTTAAAGCACATCTTGTTCGTTTCATTTCAAAACTATTGTGGTGGTGTATAGAGCCAAAAATGTTAGAATTGTGTCGATGTCCCAATATTTATGGACCTGACTGTATATACTGCCATTTGTAAATGATATAACTTTCACGTAAACCAATTAATTTACAGGTATTGGGAATTTTTTTAGCAAAGACATGTAACAGAATACATTTTGGCCTAAATTTATGACAAAATTTGATTTTTTTAAATTTTTTTACTGGACATGTTTAATAGCAAAAAGTCAAAAATATTGTTTTTTCTCAAAATTGTCAGTCGTTTTTTTTATAGCGCAAAAACTAAAAAATGCACAGGCAATCAAATACCACCGCAAAGAAAGCTCAAATCATGGGAAAAAAAAGAACGTAAATTTCATTTGGGTGCAACGTTGCATGACTGCGCTATCATCAGTTAAAGTAACACAGCGCCTTAACACAAAAAATGGCCTGGTCAGGAAGGGCGGTAAATCCTCAGGAGAGCAAGTGGTTAATTAAAAAGTATGTATGAGAAACAAAGAGGAACTTGATATTAATGTCCCACTGCATATGATTTTGTAGAACTGTGCGTGCACTACCAGCCCATAGAGTGCAGTAATAATTTCCGTCATCTGCAGTCTGTATATTATGGATGTCCAACACACTTATGCCTGCAGAAATGGATCCAGTAAAACGGTCAGAAATTCCTGCAGGTTTTACATTATGATTGCTGCCTCCATTGCTACCTGACACATACTTAGGAACACTCCCAGGTGCCTGATATACCCAGAGCGGCCAGTTACCACCAACTACAGAACCAGCACTACGTCTGCAGTACAAACGAACACTGCCACCAAGAGACGTGGTTATTCTGGGTTCCTGGATGAGAGTAAACTGAGCCACAGAATCTGTAAAAAAAAAATGGAATGATGATAATAAGACATTCATAATATATGTATACACAGTAATCATATATAAACCATAAAATATGAATTACAGGAAAAATAAGTGACGAAAGTGAAGACAGTCCAGAACATGATCAGGTTGATGAGGAATCACTTAAATGGAGAAGATTTACTGTTGAATCCTTCCACTCTCACAATTATATTCTGTATATAAACCACAACATTCTATGCAAATTGTCTCTGCATTTTATTGGCCCCTGCCTACTATACAGTATATCAACTAATCAGGTTGGATGGGCTAAATCTGAGTTTTTTAACTGGGATGCTGTAAAGAATCCCCAGGGGTGCCAGGGCAAAATTACATAAAGCCCTGCACAGTTTGATCAAGAAAGGGTTCCTATTTTAACTTCTGTGTACAGAGAGGGGGGAGAGCATGTCCTGCTCCTCCTCCCAGCTCCCTCCTCCTCTATGCTGTTATCTGTACTTTTGCTGGCAAACCTGAAAGCTGTGCAAGCCACCTGTTCACATCCTACAAACCAATGATGTCATCAGTTGTTAAGGACAGGTCAGGTGGCCCGCACAGCTTTCAGTTTTGCCGTAAAAGTACAGATACCAATATAGATGTGCTCTCATGTTTAGAGTGTACAGGGCTTGATTACTTCCCCTATCTCATCTCCAGGCTGCTCATGACCAGGCAGTAGACCAATTATGGTTGGTTGCAGTAATCACACAGTCCAATCTGGGAGATCGGTGTTATGTGCTGTATACAGACAGGAGAGGATCTGGGGAATGAGGCATGGGGAATGAGAACACAGCCCTCACCTCCTCCAGGCTCCCTGTTCCTCTGTGTGCTAGCAGGGGGATTTACAACCTACTGACCAATTAACTCTGCCTTAAAAACAAAATTTTTTGGCTTTTCCACACCAGGTGCATTGCAGTAGCACGTGCAAAATCATGTTTTCTAGCACCGCACGTAAGTGCGCTGCCTTTTGCAGATGTGTGCGGGTGCCATTAATTCCTAATGGCGCCCCCATGCATCCACCAATCGCATGTACGTTTGCGCTCACTAAATGCATGGTACTGTAGTACCATGCATCTTGTTGGAGCACAATTAAAAAAGCATGCCTACTAAAAAAACAGAATACATGGGAACATGCCAAAAAGCATACACCGCCATATGAAGCACTAATAGTGTAGTATTTTATTGATCCAAATCCAGTAGAAAAAGGTAATACTGTCAAGGTCCTACCTTTCCTCAGAGATTGTGTTGCTCCATGTGCCGGCATCCATCGTAAGTTGCTGCAAAGCATGGTGGGAGCCTTTATGCTTTCAGGCCTCTGAGGCTCCTCCACCAGAAGGGTGCGGCTGATCACATTTAAGCCTGCTGTCTGCAGTTGCTCTTTGCATTCGTGTCCTGTATGTTCCTTTGCAGCAAGCTCTTGTTCTGTTGTCGTTGCTCTCCTGGTAACCGACTCGGTTTGGACAAGACTATTCTCTGCTTTATCCCATTACCTGACCTCCCGTTGCTGGACCCGGCCTGTGACCTGAGTATTCTTGTCTACCATCTTGTACTGTTTGCTCCGTTGTTATCGACCCAGCCTGTCCGACCACGCTATATGTTTTCCATCTGGCTACCACCAGCTGTACGCCATTGGCGGCAATTGTTACCGCAGCTGGGGTTACTCGGGGGCCGTGACCTGGTCTCAGGCTGTGTCAAGTCCATCCCCACCATCAGGGGCCCTGGTGAAGGGCAGCCTGGAGCTTGGACTCCGCGCCCTGAGGGACTCTGGTCTGTGAGTAGCGGCTGTTGTCAGTCGCTGCGTGACCCTACCATTAGGCCTGCCTGCCCATTCCACTGCTCCTGCCCTGACAAATACATAAGCAATCACATGTGCATAAGATATTCTAAAATGGCCACCAGCCTTCCATGCGGCCGTCTGAGGAGTGACGTCACTATGGCAGGCTCCTCACTGACGCGTTTCGTGACAGAGCACGTTATCAAAGGGCCTCTTCCCCACAACTATGGCCGGTGGTTGTGAGGGTGTGCGGGCAGGGGGCTTAGAGGAATCTGGAAGCCCCCTTTAACAAGGGACCCCCAGATCCCAGCCCCCTCCTATGTGAGTGAGTTTGGGGTACATGGTACCGCTACTCATTCACAAAAAAAAAAGCATAGTGTATGACAGAAGATAGTCTTTGACAAATCCTTTATTAAAAACAAAAAATAAAAAAAGTCAACCAAGGTAGATCCAACATCAATGACGGTGCCCGCTGCCACCGCTGACCTGAAAAAAGAGACTCTGCTCTTGGCGTTGGTTCCCGGCCACCACTTATGTTGCACTTGAACATCAAGCCCAACACTAATGACCATCATTGTGGGTGTATACCTTTCAATGTCACTGGAGCATTTTCTCCACCTGTTGACTGCTGGCGTCAAGGCTTTTTTTTTCTTTTGTCTGACCTCTGGAGCATTTTATCTCCTACTGATATACTCTTCCTGTCACTGACCATTGACAGTGGAGTATTCTTCCCTCCTCTGGTCCATAATAAAGGGAAATTTATATTACAGATTCCTGACTACTGCATTCTGTAAATTCTGCTTTAACTTGGAATTCCAGCCTAACACTGACTACTCCTAAAGTGATCTCACAGGTTTGGCTCCCTTGTATCAGTCAGCAATGGCTGCAGGGGAGGAAAGGGAGTGCTGGGTTATTTGAGCCTATGGGTAATATCACAACTCCCGGCACCCCCAGCCTTTGTCAAGTGTCTTCTCTTCTCCCCTGCAAGTGTCGCTCACTGACACAGGGGATCAGGCAACTGCATTTGAGAGGACTAAAATAGGTGTTTATGTACATTTTTTTTCCTTACACAGGTTAAGCAGCATAAGTAGCGTGGGGGGGTGTTGTGAATTTTTAAGACTAGTTAGTGTTAGGCTACATTTCTACTTTAACCCCTTCACCCCTAAGGGTAAAACAAATCTAAATGCCTAAACACAATTTTGAAACGTTGACATGTGTTAGTAAAACAATACATATCATCACAACTACTTTGTACATCCAGGTGAATTATACCGTGTTTTTTTCAGGACAAATTAGGCTTTCATTTGGTGGTAAATGGTAATGGATATCTCCTGTTTTTTTTATTATCAAAGGAAAACTGGCCCCAAAATAATAAAAAATAATATTTTTTTTTATTTAGCTGTGTGTTTCTTGTTACTACCATAACCTACCACCAAAGAACAACTCAACTCAAAATAAATTATCCAGCTCTTGACGATCGCAACAATACCATATATGTGTATGTTATTTGTTGTTTGTACCCAGAGTACAGCCCAGAAACAATAGTGCACATTTTGTTTTTTGTCTTTTTTTTTTTTTACCTAAAACACACTGACATTGACACTAACTGACACTGATACCAATTTATTTTTTTAAATCCTGACCTATGACCCTGACCTTTTGACCTTGACCTTTGACCCTAACTTTGACCCAAACACTAACCCTGGCACTGAACTAGATCAAACCTTGAGCTAGGTATTTTCTCTTTATTTTTTATTTTTTTAATATTTATTTATTTATTTTACAAACATTTTTTTTCTCTCTATGCCAGGTGTTAGAGAGATACAATGTATCTTTCTCCTCCATTCATAGAGAGAGACAAAACAAGGGGGCCGGGCTGTACAGTGACTGATCACTGTGATAGCCAATCAGAGGCTATCACAGTGATCATGTGACCCAGAATCGGGAGTCCTGGGTCCCGATCATTAGAACGGGACCTGGTGCTCTCAGTGACACCGCGGTCTTTGTGCTGGGAGCGTGCCATGTGGCCTCATGGAAAAAAGACCAGTTCTGTGAGGCCGCATATTTGTGTGATGTCGGCATTAAGGAGTTATACTACGTACTCTTGAAACCCTTACTCTAATGTCCTGTACATACTATCAGTTTTTTTTTTTTTCGATCAACCCAGGGGACCTAACAAAAAGAAAAACCGACAAATCACTGTACTGTTTCTGTTGAACCCACCGATACTGCCTGATATTAGGCCCCCATGTACGGGGCTTAAGTCTGTATGCTATGTTGTACAATGCATACTCCTAACCATTACACGATGTGAACCGTGCCATACTTTACATACTCCTCAAAATGGTGTTTATTTTCTCAACAGTCACTAGTTGCCAAGTAGTTTCAATTGTTTTAATGAAGTCTTTTTTGTGGTAGGCTCAAACAAAATGTATTTTCTGCTAGTAGAAAAGCATATGTCATGGAAGATGATCCTTTTTCATGAAGTTTAAGTGCATCTGTAAGACTCTCACTTGTGGCACTGTAAGTATAATTTAAAAATAAATATATTACTTTGCCAGCAGGAAGAGACTCCGTGTGTCTTTCTGGCAATAAAAATGTATTTCCTTTCTGCTAGCAAGTCTCCATCGAGTCACCATGCACAGCTCAGTGTATAAATCTTGTCATGCTTCAGTGTTGGGACAAATTAAAGTGGCTATAAACCCTTACATATACCCAGTGAAGTGATCAGCCTCAAGTGATACACAGAGATTAAACAAATCCTCCTACATAATTCATGCCTGTCTATCTGCAGTCTTCTCTTCTCTACATCCAGTCAAAGAGCTGAATTTATAAAGCTTATCTGAGAGTTCAGAAAAAAAGGGGGCAGATAGCTCAGTGAGAAGAGCTCTGAGAGCTGATTGGAGGGAAGAGACACACCCCTGTCCACATAGCTCATGGTGATAGCACAGGCACAGACACTTAGTGATCGTAACTGAGACAATACACACTATAGAAGGATATGCTTTGTTCATATTTCATTACTTATTTATTCATTTATTTGAGAAATGTGGAGTGATTGCAAGAAGATATGTAAGAAGTTGGATGAGAATGAGGTGATGGAAGGGATAGGTGGTTTGAGGTCAGTTGAATGTGAGAAAGTATGGAAGAATGTGTGTGATAGGGAGTTAGATAATCGTCAGAAAGATATTGCATGGATGGGGGTGCATAAATGTTTGCCTGTAAGGATGTTTCAGAGACGGCGTAG